ATGAAATCCTTTGTTAGCTATTATCTTAAAAAAAAAAAAATTAACTTGAATGTGTTTAACAGATCCTTTTACAATCATAAATTTGGGAAAGATTTCGTATCAGTTTTTAGATATGGGACAAAGACTAGTATTAAATAATTCTGTTTCAACGGCAAAAGTATATTTAATGCCTATACCACCACCAGCACCACATTCTACCTTGAACACATTCTCTTTTTTAACGGATCAATCTCTTTTGAAAAGCTCTGATGTAGATATTCTTTTATGTGATGTAATGACAAAGGAAGTCCCTGAACAAGATAATAAAATAGATCTTTCTGCAAACGATTTAACATTACCAACTGCCCCTAAGCTTTCATGTCATTCACTATCTAATGAAGCTTCATTAGTACCCACTTCAAAAAGTTATCTTAAAAATATTACATATGATAAATCTTTCAACTTTTTGAAACTTAAGGTCAAAGAATTAGGCGATTATCAATATATTGCAATCATGTTTCAGAAAGAATTTGTAAACGGTTTTTTAATTGGCGAGTTTTTTGATGAAAGAATTACATTAATGGACATCAATACGTCAATGAAAGGTTCATAGCTTCTTATTATAATTTCAGCATTAAAATTATTACTTGTATTAATATTATAATATCTTTTAACAGATCTTTTGACGGAAGGTATTCATATTGACGCATTTCCTGAGCATATTGCCTTGGTGTCAACATTACGAATTCCGGTTATTGACAGCAGTTTGTTAACTTATAAGATGTCTGTTCGTCGTACTGGATGTGTTGGTAAAATGCTAATATTTTATGCAAAAAAAAAAAAATAAAAAAAAATATATTTATTTATTTATTTTATTTCTCATTTTTAACATATTAATATATCATTTCATTAGACCAACAAATATTTGCGCCGTTCTTAAGACAGTCTATATCTACAATGCACGAATCAAAGTTTATTGTAAATGTAGATAATGCGGATTTAAATATTCACGGACAAGCGCCATTTGTCACACCGGTTAGCGCCCCCAATTCGAGGAGAGGGTTAGAATTACAATTCTGGATGGATCCTACTTGTTCAGTACCATTATCTTTTGATATTGAACTAGATTTATACGGTAGTCTGGGGAAAATAGTTATGAGATTCCAAATGGTTGCAGCAGCATTTCCTTTTATCATAGTTATAATGACATTAAGAGCTCAATTTAGAGAGTATGATCGCGGAGGTATGAATTTTTATATTTTATGCATTTTATAGTTACTTTTTAAATTTAATACATCTATCTTTTCTAGGACCATTTTTGAGTTTTGGGCATGGATTAGCACTCTTTGTTCGTCAAACGTTTCCTAAATTTCTTGCTATCGTATCACTATTATCAATTTACCAGTCCATCACAAAAGCATCGAAAACATATTCATTGGTAGATTTATTTCCAATGGATTATGCATCAGGAGATATGCAAAAAGTCATTAAAGCCAAAGCTTCATTCAATGTAAATGACACGCTACTCGGAAATCAAGATCCTTTTTTTTGGTTTCTTCCTCCATTATTTTTCGTTATGAGTATTGGAATAACGACTATTTGTTGGATTCTGTTGGGTAGTATTGTGAGAATTTTGACATTTTGCGTAGTTTTTATTAATCGACGAGCAAAATGTGTTACACGCCTAGTAAACAGGTAAGATAAA